CCCACATTCCTCACAGCCATACGGCTTCAGCGGGCTGGGGAGGAGATGAGATGCCAGGGGTGAAGAACCAGTCCTGACCTGATCCAAGCTGTGCCCTGGCCAGGCCCATCCAGACCCACAAGACGTCACAGAATCACGGAATGGTCTGGGTTGAGAGGGACCTTAAAGCTCATCTCCTTCCACTAGACCAGGTTGCTCCAAGCCCCATCCAACCTGGCCTTGGACACTTCCAGGGATGGGAAGCAAAAGCGTTTCATTCCATGAAACAACACAAAAGGAAACGACAGAGGCAGAAAGATAAATCTCCTCCTGGATACCCCATTGCATCGACGGATTTCCAAAGGATTTGTTTGTTTCCAGCAAACCCCATGACTTTTAGCCATGTTTCTGTAACTGCTGGGAGTCTCCATCCTGTACCTGTGTGTCTTCTCGTGGGCCTTGCACGCGGCTGGGTCGGAGAAGGCCTTGTTGCACTCCCTGCAGGAGAAGGGCTTCTCTCCAGTGTGGATACGGATGTGCCGCTTGAAGTTCCCGGTGTGGGTGAACTCCTTCCCGCAGTCCTAGGGATGGAGATGGGCACTGTCACACCAGGTGTCCCCCAGGCGCCTGGTGCCACTGCCCAGGGCTGCGGGCAGACTCACCTCACACTTGTGTGTGACGGAACCGTAGGCCTTAGACTCGGTGCGGTCGCTGTACGTGCCGGAGCGCAACAGCCGCGGTTCACCCGAATTTTCCTGTCCAGAGTCGGTGCTTCCTGATTCGTTATCCTCAGCACTCTCTCCGTTTTCCAACTGGGTCTGCTCTTCCTCAGGAATTTTAGTCTCATCCTCCTCCATCGTCTCCCCTTCCTCCTCCTTCCCTTCCAGCTTCATCTCTGCAGGGAGTTAGAAAGTGGGGATGCTGAAGTTTGGGAGCAGCAGCACAGACACAAAATCCACCTCTATTTCCTAACTCAGGGAGACTGGGGTTAGGCATCTCCTATCCTTACAGAAATCACAGAAAGATTTGCAATGGAAGGGACTTGAAAGCTCATCCATTGCCACCTTTGCCAGGAATCACTCTGCACGTGATTAGCCCTAAATTCCAAAAGTCTGCAAAGAGAATTTCCCAACCTCCATGGAAACTGCTACCAGGGGCTCTGAGACTCGCGGGAGATGGCACTTGGCATGGTGAAACTCACACTAACACGATTAATTCCCTGGAAAACTAGGGATCAAGCCCTGCCCGATTTGTACCAGCCCTGCTCACCAACACACCTCCTGTTCCCATGCTGTCCATCGCTGTGGGACTGCTGTTGCCCCCCATGCTCTCCGATGGCTGTGGGAGGCCGGGAATTTCAGCCTTGGGGCCCTCCTGGATGGCAGCGTCTGTCCCTACGAATACTCGAGTGTCAAGACAGGGTGTGCTGGGGGTGACAGTGGGATCTGGGCTGTCATCCCTCAGGGGCTCACCTTCCTGGCTACCTGGCTGCTCTGCTGGTGCCTCGGGCTGTGCCGCGGCCTCAGGCTTCTCTTCCTTCCCCTCGGCACTGGGAAGAGCTGGTTTGATTTTGTCAAGATCTCCCAGTGCTTCTGCCACTGACGTCTTGTCATCAACCGAGGCCTTGTTGGCCCCTGCAAGGGAAGAGGCAAACCCATCCAGCTTCTGCTGCCAGGAGGATTCCCAAATCCCATAAAACCTGAAGTCAGCCACAGTTCTTCAACTGACAAGGGGATCAAACCCCATCCTGGAGCACCAGATGCAGCCAGGATGTGGGTTTGGATGGTGGCCAGGGAGCATAAATGGAATGGATAAAACATAAGTGGATAAATCTTGACTCTCCCTCGGATGAGGGGAAGCCTAGAGGATCCTTACCGATCTCTGGGGGCTGCTGGCTCCTGGGGGAGCTTTCTGGGGGCATGGAGAGGGATTTGAGAGCATTACAAGCGCTGACAATCTCCTGCATTTGCAGGAAACCTGCCACAGCCAGCACGTCCTCCACGTTGTCGGGGCTTAGGCTCAGCTTAGCTGTGTACATGAACTCCAAAACCTGGCCCAGGCCTGCAAAGGATGTGACACAACAAAGCTGTCATCTTTTCATTTTTAAAAGCATCATAGAATACTAAGGGGTTGGAATGAATCATAGAATGGACCTTAAAGATCATCTAGTCCCAACCCCCTGCCCTGGGCAGGGACACCTCCCACCAGAGCAGATGCCTCCAGGCTTTAGCCAACCTGGCTGTGAACACTGCCAGGGTTGGGGCAGCCACAGCCTCCCTGGGCAACCTGTGCCAGTGTCTCACCACCCTCCCAGGGAAAAATTTCATAATATCTAATCTAAATTTCCCCTCTTTCAATTACTCCTTGCCTTGTCACTGCAGTTCCTAACCTAGAGTCCCACTCCAGCTTCCCTGGAGCCCCTTCAGATACTGGAAGGTTGCTATGAGGCCTCCACACAACCTTCTCTTCTCCAGGCTGAACAGCCCCAAGAAAAAGTGCAGGGAAAGGAGCACCAAGAAAACCCCAGAGTGCAGGAAGTAAGAGATTGACGTGTGTCTCTCCAAGCCTAGGCACAAAACCACACTGTTTAGGCAGCTCAAACGGATGCTGGATAAAATTTCCATGTGTACCTGCAGCATTGCTGATGTCCAGGTGCACCACATCCTTCTGGTCAACGAACAGCATCCGGAAGTATTCACTGCAGGCTGCCAGCACAGCTTTGTGGGCCTTGAAGTTGATGCCATCCACCACAAAGGTGCAGTCGCAGAGCAAACCCAGCTGCCGCTGCTGGTTCAGCTGCTCCAGGACTTGTTTGCTGTGCTGAGGGAAATCCATGGCTGTGGGGAGGGAAAAAGCCCCCGGAGGAGGGTGAGGTGCATGGTGAAACCCTGACACCGCGTCTGCAGGGGTCATGGAGCAGGAGAGAACACAAAGCACACCCTGACTGCCCTGTAGGTTAAAAAGTGGCCCAAAAAGGCAAATTCCTGTTCCTCTCCCACTAAACACAACTCCAAACCCCCTCCTAGAACACCACAACACCAATACGGGCACGGAGAGAGTTGATGAAACAGCCAAGATGTTTTCTAGCCACCCTAACGGGATTTAAAATCCATTTAATGCTCTTCAGATGGTCCAAGCAGCAAGTAGGAATCCTGTCACCTCTCCAAACTCAAATGTTGTCATCCCTTTGGTTCACAGATGGTGTCACTGCTCCCATCGAGGGTGCAGAGTGGAAGTGTTCATCCAAACCTTCCATCTCCAGCTTGTTTCAGCTGCTCATGTCACAATACTGACGGGTTTTATATTTTAATTGTGTGTTTGGAGGGAGTTCTCCATGCTCAGATCATGGCTTTAGCTGAGGAATGCTGCAAATTGCCAGAAACACAGTGGAACTCCAATTTTCCAGCAGGTCCTCGTCAGCAAAGTGCCACACATTGGATTCTCTCCCGGGCTGCATCTGCAGGACTCAGGGTGAACGAAGGATTTTTCACTTGACTTAGCCTTCTAACAATGATTCCTGTGCTGAAGGGATTGTTTCAAGGGATTGAGCAAAGAGAGAGGAGAAAGGAAACGGGGACTATCCAGTTATTGTTCAGCCAGGAAGTCCCCAAAGCTCTGGACGCTGAAGCAGGAAGGATACGGCCAGGGAAACACTCTTGGGTTTCAATGCTCAGTCGATGATCAGCGTCTTGGAAAACTTCCAGCCCATGGCAGTTATTTCTCCACTTTACCAGCTCTTAAATCAGGAGCTTTCAGTCAGTAAAAGGCAACCAGTTTGGATCCTCAAAACCAGGCACTTCCAGTCCCTGTCCCTTCCTCTGGATCCATGGGAGTGTGGGCAGCGCAGTTGGAGGGAGCCGCCTCCTGTCGGCTGCAGATGCCAGCAATGCACTCTGGGAAGGATCTTCCAACCAAGGATAATTCAGCTTCCAAAATCATTCCCAGTGGGGGTGAGAAGCCAGGACATCTACAACAGCATCAGATCATGCACAGAGAGAGGAAGCTCAACTCCTGTTTGTCATTGCAGTGGACTCCGCGGTGGCTTTCCTCCAGCTTCCCAAACCACAGGGCACTCATTAATCAAACTCCGGCAGCCTGTCCCAAAATACATCCCTGAGGGCCAGGGAAATCAGTATTTGGATCAAAATATGTCCGAAACACCACACAGTATGGCCCTGGATAAATGGGGGAGGATTTCTCCAGCAGGATAAACAACACAGTGTTCCGTGCTTGGAGACCCCTGTGCAGCAGGACCTGAGGAATCACTGTGGTTTGAGGCACTAAAAGGATATTTTTGGGAATTTGTGGGAGGCACATCCAAACAATGATTTTTATTGTTCCAGACTGGACTTGCCTCAGCTTCTCTCTCCAGTTTTGAGAAGGAAGTAAAAATCCAGGAAATCTGAGTTCTCCCACAAAACTTTGTTTTCTGTGATTTCCTCCACAGCATCACACTCCAGCTTCCTCTGAAGTACAGCAGGGCAGAGGTTTGGAAGAGCTCTGTATCACCTTCACCCAGCACCCAACATCCCGCAGCATCCGAGATTACCCTTATCCACTAAAATCCCTGACTCCTACCTTTAAAAATCCCAAACATCTGGACCAAACCCCCCAGGACCAGTGCCTGAGCTCACCCCTGTGCTGCGAGAAGCAGAGATACCAGGAGGACCAAGTCTGTTGGCTGGAGTGCTGTGGCTCTCCTCTAGAGATTTCCCCTTTCCAGGTGTCCAGGTCAGTATCTATGCAGCCATCCTGGGAAAAATGGGATGAAAAACTCCACTTTAAAACTCAAAGCTTGTGCGTTGAAGGCACCATGGCGTGACATCGCCAACCCAGACTGGGCACTCCCTAATTTCACCTCGTGGGAGGCACCTGAGCTCTAATCCCCTCCTGACCTCTCCCTGATGTGGCTGTCAAGTCCCCCATTATCCAATTCATCATGGAAAAGTTCATTATAAGCACACCTACGCCCACCACACAGGGATAAATACAGCAGCTGCAGTCCCCAGGGAGCTTCCCACATGAGTTCTGTTGAGCTCACTCACTAATTAATGACATTAACCTCTCCCCAGCCCTGCTACATGAGCATCTACCTATAAAAAACCCCAAAACCTCACTACATTGGAAAAAAATTGTGATTTAAATGTTGCCTTTCAACACTGTCACCACCCAGCCAGTCATCCTGGGTAAATAAAAGGGAGGAGGGGTTTGTTTCCTACCTACTGTCCTCTCCCTCCATGTGCGTCAGCTCGGGGAACAACACAGCCCCAATCCTCGTAGCCTCTGCCCAGAGGAGTCTGTCCTCATTTCCAGGAACGGATTCTGCAAGGTTTTCCATGAAAAAATAGCGTTCAGAGCTGATCTGAGCAGAGCAGTCAAGGAAGTGCTAACAATATGGATCATGAAATAGGGAAGGGCTGTGGAGCTTGTGGTCGGAAATGGAAAGTGAGCTGTAAGGGAGGAAATCATCACCAGCAGGAAAAAGCGTGGGGAAAAGGAAATAAAAGGAGGAAGAAACAAGGAGAGAGATTAGCATGGGAATTCTGGACAGGCCCCAAGGAACAGACACCCTGCAGATCCCTCAGTTATTTGGATCTCAGGCACAGGGATGCGCAGGTGTGGCTCCAGAGGCTGTGCAAGTAACTGGACACCAAGCATCACCTGAGCTCTGCCCTGAGACCCCTATGTCTGCAGCACCTGGGGGATGAACCACAGACCCTTGTCTCCTCAGGAACAAGCAGCCTTTGGAATGCTGGCTGAGGGCCAGGATTCTCGAAGAAGCCTCTGATGCAGAAACAAAACTAAGGAAACATGGCTTATCCGGGAAGTGTGTCATCCGTGCCCACTGTGCCACCCACAAGAGGGCACAGACAGCCAGGACGGGCCGTCACCCTGTCAGAAATGCCAGGGATGGGAAAATCTGCTTTCTTCGAGCTGCTCCACGACGCTTTGAAGGCTTCCCCTGCGGTGTGGGGGCAGCTGGGGGCTCTGGCACAGCGCTGGCTCTCAGGCTGCT